GCCGGTGCGCGCTGGGGCCCGAAGTTGGGCTGCCGAGTGGAGGTGTGTGTGGTGGCGCGGGGACGGGGGCGCGCTCGGTCCCCACGTGGAAGGGGGATTTGGGCGGCGCCGAGCTGAAGGCGTTTCGGGGGCGGCGGCGCCCTCCGGGGTGTAGCGGGGTTCCGGACGCAGGCGGGCGGGCCGGGGGACCCGGGAGCCGATGCGATGGGGGCGTGGGCGCCACCGGCCGATCGCGACGTGGGGCGCCGAGCTGTCTGCGGGGAAACGTGTGACTCGGGTCTGGGGGCTCCTGAGGCTGGGAGAGGATTGGGGTTCGGGGGGGGTGAGGGTTGGTGGCTTTGAGAGACGCCTGCGATAACCCGTGAACGCCTCTGCGGAGGGCTGGCCGGGTGGCCGGCCCCTGGCGCGCCAGGCAGAGAGGCCAAGCCCCCGGTGTCGCCCGGCTGGGTGAGTGCACCCCAGTCGCCTCTTCTCCCCCCGGGCCCTGCTGGCTGCAGTCCTGGGCACCCGCTTTACAGCCCTGGCTGGTCCTCACCCAGGGTGAGCGCAGGGCCAGGCCCCCATAGCCGCCCCCTTCCTTGGTGACAGCTGACAGGTTTACGGGGCTTGCCAGGGGCCTCCGTTTCTAGTTTTACTTCGCGTGTGTTTAAGACTTACTGATGCATACAGGGCTGGGGTGCAGGCTAGGGAGATGTGGGGGTGAGAGATTCACCAGCGGCAGTGGGGAGCTGTACAGGCAGATCGAGGAGGTACACTGCTGAGGGAGCAGCGGGGAGACAGGAGAGGTCTCCCGTGCCCTGGGGGTCACTCCCGAGCCAGGACCAACCGGCACTGCGGGCCATATAAATCTTTTTGAAAAACACAGAAGAATGGTCCAGTGAGACTTGCGGGTGGGGCACCCTGAAAGAGGCTTACACCCAGGGCTGCTGGGCACTGAGAGATACTGTCCCAGCGTCTGAAGGAAGAGAAGCAGCAGCTGGCAGCTGACCTCCGGGAGGAGGAGCGGGAAGCCCGGCCTGGCGTGTCAGGAGCTATTGGTGCAGTGGAGCCTGTCACAGAGCTGTGTACACTTGGTGTCGCTGACACCCCTCTGTGGCACCAGTAGTGGCCTTCACTCCCGGGCAGGGCTGACCAGCTTGCCCAATGACCGCTACTGGCTAGAGCTGTCTGGCTGTGGTGACAGGTGACCGCCCTCTGCGTTCCGTCCCGGGACGCTGTCCGGGTGAGGTATGTTTGCCCAGTTTATAGAATAAACCCCACGTCTGTGGCTTCGGGAGCCTGAGGTCTCGCAGCTGTCCTTGGGGTGTGAGAACCCACAGTGCCCGTCTTGTGCTGGGCGCTGACCCTTACGCGTTGTATTGTGGGGGCCCTTGGCCGGGCTTTTGGCTGCTGTCTCGTCGGGGGCAGGTGCTCTGGCCCACATATGCACCCCTTTTTCACGGCAACTTACCATGGTCTCCGCTCCCAGCTTCTCCAGTGCTATGCGCGCTCACAGGACACATCGTTTGAGCGGGAGTTCCACTCAGGGTTGGGGGGACAGCACCCAGATCCCTTCCTTCATCATGTTCCTCTGTAGCTGAGCTGTCCGAGGGCGGCCTGCCCCTCTTGCCCTCGTGCCCTGTCTCAGACACCCACTTCCCCTCACACACTGAAGGCAGCCTGCACCCCACCCGGAAGCTCAGCTCTGAGGCTGGAGAACCCCGTCCTCGGGGAAGCGGGTCACGGCCCAGGCGGGGTCAGGGGCCCTGACGGCGGAGCTGGGGAGCGGGCAGCCCGGCTGCAGGCACTGGGCCGCTCATGGGGTTCTCTGCACCCACAGGTCCTGGCTCCCGGGAGCAAGAGCATCCAGGGAAGGAGGAAGAACCCCGGGCCTGGGGGTCAGCCTCTGAGCGAAGCCTGAGAGCTGGGGCGCAGGTGGAACGGACCCAGAGGACGCGCCGGGAGCAGCTGGCGTGGTGGGTCCCAGGCTGGACGTGATGGAGGCGCAGGTGACGCGTGCTGGGGAGACCTTTCTCCCCACCCATGTTCACTGATTTCTATTTCAGATTTCTTTCTTTGTATCTTTGGTACTTTCTGGGCATTTTCTTTCTTTTAAGTATTTATTTATGCATGCAGAACTGGGGTACAAGCCGGAGGTGCAGAACTGGCAGACTGACTGAAACGCACTGCAGAGGGGAGCAGCGGGGAGACGGGGAGACCTGCTCTGCCACAGGGGTCACCCCCTGGCCGGCATCGAACTCGTGCTGCGGCGGCTGCGGCCCTCATGGGGCTGCCTCTAACCCGCTGCGCCCCCAGGGGCCCGGCCTTGTTTCGTACAGTATAGTAATTAGCCACTGGGCGTGTGGGGATCACCAGAAGTGCTGCTTGTTCATTTATCTTTATGAAAATGCCTGTGAATTTGGTGTTTGTGTGTAATTTAGTATTTTTGTGCATTTATATTTTGTTTGTCTAACAGACAACTTTTTATGGTGTAATCTATATTTCAACAATTAACAGATACTTTTTAAAAAGATTTATACATTTGTGCATATAAGAACTGGGGTGAATCCAGAGGTGTCGGGGTGAGAGGACTTGCCGGGGAGCAGAGTGGAGAACAGCACAGGCAGATCCACTGAAATATACTGCTGAGGGGTGCAGCGGGAGACAGGAGGGGCCTGCTGCGCCCCAGGGGTCGGCTCTGTGTCTGTGGACAGCTTCATAGTGCCGAGACAGTCCTTGCGCACCGGGAAGGCCCAGCCTGTGTTTATGTACAGTGTGTGGTGATACTGCCGTGAACTCTCACCTACGATGTCGCTGGTGGTGTGTATAAACACACACACAGACACACACACACACACACACACAATAAGATGTATTAACTTTATAAATTACAGAAACTGAATGAAAGTGGTTGTGTGAGCAAGTGTGCAGAGACCATTGCTCTCACTCGTCATCTAATTTTTGCCTCCTCAACATGTGAGAATGAATCCCAAGGCCCTCTAGATGTGGACTGTGTGATAGAGCAAAAGGGGCATGGCCTGGCGAGGCCCCTCACGTGACCCTGTGCCGTGACAGGACCCGCTGACCTTCGCTGACGTGGCCGTGCGCTTCACCCGGGAGGAGTGGCGCCTCCTGGCCCCCGCCCAGAAGGCCCTGTACTGGGAGGTGATGCAGGAGACCTACAGCCACCTGGTGTCCCTGGGTGAGGCCGGGCCCGGGGGTCCTGTGAAGGCTCTGGGGATGGGTCCTGTGAAGAGGGGTCTCTGTCTTCTGGGTCCTGAGACGTGTGTTCTCTTCCTCTTGGGAGAAAAGCCCTTCCCCCTGGGCATGAGTGTTTGAGATCAGGAAGTGTCTGTGCACAGGTGGCCATCACATCCGGTTCTGGCACAGTCCCCGCACCCCCTTTCTCCTTTGATAAGAGGAGGAAAATGAAGGGTGTTGACCTTACTGACAGCAAACCCCCCTCAGCCACCCTCTCAGCTCCTGTCCACAGTCGGGGTGGCACCGTCTGTGTCTCCACAGGCTGGTCACCGGTGGTCAGGTGCGTCCCCAAGTCTGTGAGCCCTTCTCGGGAGGTGACTGACCCGAGTCGGCAGCCTGGGGCCTCTGGTCAGTACATGTGCAGTTGGAAGCTGAGGATAGATCCTCCGGGCTGTTAGCGTCTGTGCTGGGGGGAGGTAGGAGGTCTTGGGGGTGAACCGCCCTGTGTCACTGATGCTGTTGCGGCGGGTGCTTGTGAAAACAGGGACAGAGTGGGACACAATGTCCGTGAGCCCTGGTGTCACAGAGCTGGTGCCCGTGTGGAAAGTTCACTGGCACAGGTTTGGGCCAGGCCCGGATGGGGTTGGCCAGGAGCAGTGTTGGGGTTTGACAGCAGGTGCTGGGGAGTTGGTTCTCCTGTGTATGTCAGTTTTGTTTTGTCCTCACATGTGACATCTAGGGCCCCCCACACCCCCACCCAACCATGTCTGTCTGTCGTGTCTGTGACTAGGTGTCCGAGCCCACCCACCAGAATGGCTCTGCCAGTTGGGAGGAGGAGAACATCCATGGACGATGGACAGCGAAATGCACTGTGACTTCCTCTCAGGTGAGTTAGAGAAACAGCAGGGGCAGTTGTTGAGACTGGGTAGGACTGGTCTGGTGACACTCAGCTGGGTTTCAGGAGAGGGAAGCGCAGTGAGGGCACCGGGGCACCAGGCTGATGTGGCTGGTGGGTCTTCACCCCTGAGCTCAGAGGTCAGGACGTCACCCAGAGGCAGGCAGGTGTAGAAACAACAGCCAGGTTTAGTTTTAGAAAGAATGAGACAAAGCTGAGGCGAGTTTTGAGAGAGTGCAGACGAGTGTGAGACCAGGCATCTGTCTACCCAGATAGGGTTCACCGCGCAGAGACCGCAGTCCAAGCCGAAGCCACACGTAGCTGACTAGGGGATTCACGAGAGGCTTGATGCCAAAAGCCTCCTCAGTACCTCTCAGGTGGAGTCCACGAGCCCGCAGTTTCATCCCCTGCAGCTTTTCCTTTGTCTTGTATCTGCCCTTTAAAGAGGTTTTGCCTAATGGCTGGGTGAGCTGCAAGTATCAGGGCCTGGCTGGCCCACAGGAGCCCCTGTGAGGACCTGAGTGGGTTGGGGTTGGTCTGTGCCAACTGCTGCTGGTCCCCTCACCCTGCGCAGCTTCAGCTGTGCAGTATGTGCCACTCAAGGTCTTAGCTGGACAGCCAAGGCTGTCATGGTCATCGGGGTTACCTAAGCTCGCTTTCCTGCTCAGGCTCTTAACATTTTACAGTGTTTATGTATCAGTGACGTTACATTCATAGGAATATTAAGCCTGTCAATTTATGTGTAGTCATTTGATAGAAGAATCTGTCAAACTTTAAAAATATCTGTATGTTGGGCCTCCTTGGGAGTCTAGGGTTAAGTCTCAGCACTCTGACCCCTACAGCCTGTTCTATCCGCTCTATCCGGGCAGGGAGGTCTCCTCAGGGCACAGCAGACCTCTCCTGTCTCTCCACTGCTCCCCTCAGCAGTGGTTTTCAATGAATCCTCTTGCTGTTCTTCCCACTCTGTCTCTTACCCCCCCCCCGCCTCTGGCCTGCACCCCAGTTCCTGAAATTGAAAAATACAACTTAAAAAAAAAGTTCTATTTTTACGATGGAAGGATGATGTAAGAATTTATTTTTCTTTCTCCAGGAACCTTAGAAACTGAAGCTTATGCGCAGGCACCATTACCAAAGGGGAGCGCGGAGAGCAGCCTGGGACTGGGCCGTGAGCACAGCGCGGGGGCAGGTACTGCACAGCCCAGCTCTGATCACCCCGCTTCAGGGGAGCATCTCGGCCTGCTCGGCTCACACAGGACAGGCGTGGGCTCAGGTTTCACCTCAGTTACTCAGAGCAGCAGTGGTAATGTGAAGAGCGCCACTGAGCCCACAGGAGACGGGGACTCCTTCCTCCATGCTCCCCAGGGACGGTGTCAGCCCCAAACGAAACTCCCTGAAAATCAAAAACTTATATCTAAGTCACAATTCGTCAATCCTCAGAACACTCGAAAAACCAAGAAGCCTCTTGTGTGCAGGGAGTGTGGGAGAGCCTTCTTCAGAGAGTTCCTTTTCACCATACACCAGAGGACACACACCGGGGAGAAGCCTTACGAGTGTACTGACTGCGGCAAAGCCTATATCCGAAAGTCTCTGCTCAGTGCCCATCAGAAAACGCATACAGGAGAGAAACGCTTTGAGTGCAGCGTTTGCTGGAAAACCTTCGTCTACAAGGGCAGCTACACGGTGCACATGCGGTCGCACTCGGGAGCGAAGCCTTTCGTGTGTGGCGTTTGTGGGCGGGGCTTCCTCTACAAGGGTAGCTGCAGGGTGCACATGTGGGGCCACACGGGGGAGAAGCCTTTCCTCTGCGGCTGCTGTGGGAAAGGCTTCATGTCCAAGGGGAACTGTAAGGTGCACATGCGGATCCACGCAGGCAAGAGGCCGTTCATGTGCAGTCAGTGTGGGAAGCGCTTCATCACACGGCCAGACCTCATCGCGCACCAGCAGAATAACGGAGGCGAGAAGCCACACGTGTGCAGCGAATGTGGAAAAACCTTCTGCGTGAAAAACGACTTCGTCAGCCATCAAGTCAGTCACAAAAGCAAGAGACCCTACACCTGCAGTGAATGTGGGAAAACTTTTGTCCTCATGTCTTGGCTCCTGAAGCATAAGAGAGTGCACAGCAGAGAGAAAGGCGGGCACCCTGGCAAGCTGGGCAGCCCTCCCGCGGCACAGCATGGCCCAGCGCAGGCCCGCGGCGCCCTGGCAAAGAACACCCTCGTCAACGCCGTCACTGTGCCCGTGTCCTCTGTCATCCCCGTGACCGTGCCTGTGTCTTCTGTGGCCCCCGGGCCTTCATTTCACATCCCGGGGCTCCTGGCAGACAGGGGTGTGGTCCTCGTGGGCCAGCCTGTGGCCAGAGTGGCCCCCTCAGGACTCCACAGTGGCTTGGCACAGGGCGGGAGCCTTAAGAGCGCGGTGAACGTAGTCGTGCCTTCCGCAGTCAACTACGTCTTACTTTATGTTCCCGGAAGCCAGTAGATGGGCAGAGGTCTGCTGAGATCTGTGGATACGTGCTCACCCAGCTTCCTCGCTCATGTTCATCCAGGAAGTGTCACCTCGGAGGGACGTGTGCAGGCGCCATCCGGCAGAGTCGGTTCTCTCTTTTGAATTGTGTGTTGGTGCCCAGATTACTTTGCTGTTAACGCAGATGTGCATCATTCGCTCCACTGTACCAGTCAAATGAATAAAGGGTCTGGGCTTTCTGGTGAAAAGTAACTGAGTCAGTTTGGTAAACCTAGAATGTGCACTTGCTCTTAGCCGAAAGGCTGAGAAGTCATGGGAGCCTGTACTGTGTGTGTGGAATGGGGAGATGAAGGAACAACCAGGAGAGTGAAATGCTCACGCCCCCTGAGGGGCGAGCGCCAGGCAGTTCTGTTCCTCCCTCAGGTTTGGCTGGAAGCTGGCGCATCTGCCTGACCTCTGGCACTTTGTTGCCCAGGGCCTTGCTCAAGCTCCCTCACTGCTAATGGGCTTTGGTGACTGCACCATTACACCTGGTCTCTTGGCACGAGTGAAGGGGAGCAAGAGGAAGAGCTGGCTTGCAGGGGTCGTAGCCATTTTGTTTAGGAGTTTGCACTGGGTCCACCCTCGAGACCTGGTCACCTCTCTAAGGTTACACTTGGGATTAAGATTTTTGGAGTAACAATTCATTTCATAACAAGATGGGACATGGCTTCAGGCCCCGTGGGCATTCTTGTGCAGGAGTCCTGTATCTCCAGGAAGTGGAAGGGCCTCTTCAGCCACCAGAAGCTCCTTAGCGAGTTATTTTGTCAGTACATGTGTTATTTCCCCAGCTAGTGCTGACTGGTCATTTTTTCACTAAAATGGTAAAATTTAAGGTCCTTGTTTACAGTAGGCCAATTTCAAGGACCAGGCGGTCCTAGAGCTGGGGGTCTATGCCCCCAAATCGCACCAACAAGCAACCTCTAGCTGCTTGGACTGAAAAGGAGGCATGGAGATGAACAGTATCTAGAAACTTCTGTTCCAGAGTGCTGCTAAATGATACTGTATCTCAGCACAGTCAGTTATATTCTGGTTTGGGAAGTGAATGAACTGGATGTTATCCTTAAGGGAATGAGCCATGGGAGACATTTTCAGCCATTACAACGATCTCCCCCAGAGGCTGTGATCACAGACCAAATAATTGAGTCACAACTGGACAGAGCAGCAAAGGAATTCTCGGGGTAGATAAAAGGGATAAGAAGAATGGAGGACAGAGGCGGCTGTGAGATTTCCTAAGGGTTGGCCTCGAAATGCCTTTCTTTGTCCTTTCCTGTCACCCCCGACAGCGGCCACCTTTCCAAGCTCCAGCTCTGCTGGTAGCTGCCGACCTGAGAATGCTCCAGAAAGAGGGGACGCCGGCCTGTCTGTCGCGATCATTTGTCCTCATTTCTCCTGTAGTTAACGCACTTGTGCAGGCCACCTGTCCATCTTGTTCACAGGGAAAGTCCTGGGAACTGGCCACTGCTGTCCCAGGGCACCCTGGGTACACGGTTTCTAGTCGGCGTGAGCTGACAGCAGGTTAGCGCTCACGTAGGGCGTGGTGGCCCCTGGACACACTGTTTGGACAGTAGCTGGCCGAGGACAACTTACACCGCCCGTGTGTGCCTTGTGATGCGGGCGACAGTGAAACGTGCCCAGGTGCTGGAAAGGTGCTCAGGCCGCGGCGTTGCCCACTGCTCGGTCTGGCTCCTGGTCCCGAACCCGCCCCGACGCTTCTGCACGGCCGTTTTCCAACATGGCCGCCGCCGAGGTCCCAGGCGCCGCGTGCAGACAGTCTCCTGCGCCCCCGCAGGGCACAGGCGGAGGGACGCCCCAGGCCTCCTGTCCTCCGCGGCCGCCGTAGGCGCAGGCTGGGTCCGGGAAAGCCGAGTCCAGCCTGCGGGAGTGTCCGGAGAGTGGAGGTTTGCGTGTGGCGGGGACGCGGGGCGCGCTTGCTCCCGATGGGATGGGGGAGTCGGGCAGCGGCGCTTGCATGGGGTTTGCGGGTCCGGACTCCCGGGTGCGGGGATGGGGTTCCGGGGTCCCAATCGGGGTGGAGGGTGGAGGGCTTGTCGCCTTGGTCCGGATATGTGGGGGCGGTGTTGTTTTGGGCAAATGTGGGTGACGGGCTTGGGGGCTCCCCCTGGGTCTCCTGGAAGGGAGTTTGGGGGGCGCAGAGCTGCTGCTGCTGAGGCCGTGCGGTTGGGTTGTCCAGGGCGATAAGGGGTGCAGTGAGGGGTGCAGTGAGGGGCCGTAAGGTCTTAAGCCCCAGCGGCTGGGGCAGAGGTGGGGCTCCCAGTGGGGTCGTCTGGAAGCAGCTCTTAAGTTTAACGGGACTGGACGCACAGAGCGACGCCCCTTGTCACATACGGGGTTTGGACGTTTGGGGCTCCTGCTGGAGCTACCCCTTCCCCTCATTTTGACCTTTTCTGAGGGAATCTTGGGGTTCTTTGGTGCCCACCCCTTGGAGGGAGCCCGTATCCTGCGTTGGGGAGCCCTGGCGTCCATCCGTCCCGGTGGCTCAAGTCGAATTTTCTTAAAGTAAGGTGAAGTTCCATCGGCACCCCCCGCCCTGAATTACCACCCTGTGTCCCACACCAGTTTCTTTGTGTTTTATCATCTGATCTGAGGAGCTGACCACTGGGGTTTTCTTCGTTGCTTCTGCGTTTTGCCATGTTGTACATGAATGCAGTTGTACATGATGCGTTCAGAATGATTTTTTATACTTACTTTATCTTTTTCAATTAAAAAATGTATTTATGCATACAAGAGCTGGGATGCAGTCCAGAGGTGGGGGTAGGGCTGAGACGATTCCCAAAGACAGGGTGGGGAGCAGGACAGGCGGATCCCCTGAAGTCCACTGCTGAGGGGAGCAGCGGGGAGACAGGAGAGGTCAGCTGCGCCCTGGGGCTCACTCCCTGGCCGGGGATCCAGCTCTTGCAGCAGAGGGACAGCCTCACAGTGCTGGGCTGTGACCCCTGCGCCACCAGGGCGGGCTCTTCTGCAGTTTCGACGTCAGGCTTGCTTTGCTCAACGTCGGTCAGACGGAGTTAGCGCTTCTGGAGAAGTGGTGTTTTCTCCTCTGGTCTGTCTGAGGTCAGAAAAGTGTGTTCCGTGACTGTGGACAGTGTCGCAGGATAGGCCAGCACTGGTGTCTCCACGTGGCCTTCCCTGCCCTCATTTTTGGGGCACCCTCATCTCTGGACTGTGAGCCGGGGCGGTGAGTGGAGAGGGTCAGCTGGGACAGCTGGCTAACAGCCCACCTCGTGAGGGCGATCCCCATCGGAGTGGCCCGTAGCTTGTGGGAACCCGTGGTGGAGAAGCAAGTTGAGTCGTAGGCTCCTCAAAATGCCCAGTGGTGAGCAGATCCAGAAGAAAACACTGAAGCACCCCAGTGGTGTCTGGGGGCCCCCCAGATAGTCACTCCCACCCGCCTTGGTCGGTGTGACTGCAGTTGGAGAATGCTTGGTGGGTGTTAAAGGCACCCTTGGGGGTTCATCTCGGACCATCTCCTTCCAGATGAGCCCCCGGGCGCCCGCGGCCCGTCACTGCTGGCCGCTTCACCTGATAGTTGAGCGCACCAGTGTAAGCACCTGTCGTCCAGCTCCCTGCTTTTCTAGAGCAAACACTTCAGCTTCAGCGCTACCTTCTCATTTATTTCTGTGTGCGTTAAAAACTCCTGGAATAGCAGCAGCGGTTTCAGACAGCCATCACTCCCACCGCCTTGGTTTCCAGATGAGCGTGGACTCATGGGGTGCAGAAAGAAATGGAGGCAGAGCTGTGCACAGCTGTCTTGAGGAGAACGGCGCCCAGGTCCCCTCCTTCCTCACACATCCATGAGGTCGGCCTGCTGAGGCCTGGGCTGCCTCTTGCCCTCGTGCCCTGTCTCAGACGCCCACTTCCCCTCACACACTGAAGGCAGCCTGCACCCCACCTGGAAGCTCAGCTCTGAGGCCGGAGAACCCCGTCCTCGGGGAAGCGGGTCACGGCCCAGGCGGGGTCAGGGGCCCTGTCGCGGAGCTGGGGAGCGGGCGGCCGGGCTGCAGGCACTGGGCCGCTCATGGGGTTCTCTGCACCCACAGGTCCTGGCTCCCGGGAGCAAGAGCATCCAGGGAAGGAGGAAGAACCCCGGGCCTGGGGGTCAGCCTCTGAGCGAAGCCTGAGAGCTGGGGCGCAGGCGGAGCGGACCCAGAGGGCGCACTGGGAGCAGCTCGCTCCCTCGGCGGGTTCTCAGGAGAGCGATGGAGGTTCCCTGATTTTGTTCTATTTGTTCCGAGTTTATTTTGTTGAGCAGCCGGGACTAAGGCCGAGCTGTGAGGAGAAACTAAGGTTCCCAGCACAGGCTCAAGATATGGGGGAACCCCGCACCCCCCGTGAGCTGAGCAGGCGCAGGCCTCGCTTCTCCGCCCCCCCCTCCAGGGGTGGCCTTGATTCTAGAGGCCCTTGAGAAAGGACGGCTCGGCTGGAAGGAGAAACCTTGCCAGCAGGGCCTGAGCAGCCCTACAGCCGGGTTGTTAACAGCCCCAGAGGAGCGTCCCTGTCGTGGATTCCAGGTCTGAGGGGGGAGTAGGGCCCGTCCTGGTCTCTGCGCGGCATCTTGTTTATGTCCCTCCTGGAAGAAACGGGAGCGGAGTCCTGAGGAACAGCTGCTCATAAATGCAGAACGGAGGGGTTCTGGGGGCTCCTCACAGGCCCCTGCAGGAACCCACTTGGTGACTCAGGGAAATGGGGGGCAGTACTGGATGACTCCCGTTCTGGGGGTTGTGAGGCGGCCTCCCGCCAAGGGACACTGGGGACGGGAGGTGAGGGCTTGGTTCACCGCCCAAGTGGCTTTCTGGGTCTCCTTTCTAGATTATCACGTGGGCTCAAGTTATAAATTACAGAGACTTACACTGAAATGTGTGGTTGTGTGACTTAAGGCACATTATAGATTTATTGTCATTTTAATATTTACTCCTCCATAACATGAAACAAAAGCCCTCTGGACGACTCAGTGTGCATGGTACAGTGAAGCGAGCAGGGAACGCGTCAGGCTCTGTCCTTGGCCTGCGAGGCCTCTCACATGTCCCCTGTGCCGTGACAGGACCCGCTGACCTTCGCCGACGTGGCCGTGAGCTTCACCGGGGAGGAGTGGCGGCTCCTGGCCCCCGCCCAGAAGGCCCTGTACCGGGAGGTGATGCAGGAGACCTACAGCCACCTGGTGTCCCTGGGTGAAGGCAGTGCCCCCCTGTCGCTCAAGAGGTCCTGCCAGTGGCCTCTCCACGCTCAGCTTCTGAAAGCCTTGGAGTGTCTGTGGTGCTCCGAGGTGGTGGAGTCTCAGCCTTCCCTCTGGCCCCCAAGGAGTGAGTATCTCACCTGAGGTAACAGCCCTGCTTGGATAGAGGGACCCGTACCCCTCGTCCCTCACTGTGTCTGTGTCTGGTGTCCCCTGCCCAGGTGAGCGAGGGGCAGCAGGGGCAGGTGTGGAGGTGCACCCTGATGGAGTAGGGGGGGCTCTTTTCTATGTGGGAGTCCAGAGACACACCCAGGGTCTCTCCTGGGCCTGAATCCTTTTTATTTCCTCTACATCATGTGCTTGTTTGCTCAGAAAGATGGGGTTCTCCCATCTTTCCTTTTCTGACTCTGCTCCGGGGTCCTCTGTCCTTGCCTCCATGGGCTTCCTTCTCTGTTCTCGGTCCCCACTCAGAGGTTCTCGAAAGTTCCATTTCCCATTTTCTGGTCAGATCTGCTCTCTCTCCTAAACTTTCTTTTCTCTATGAAGTAAAAACTGTTGGTCCTCAGGAGAGTTCCAGATAGTTATCTCCATGTCATTAACACAAACTTTAGACATTTAGATAATGTTCACCTCCGGGGCACCTCCTGCCCAGCGGCTGCAGGGCGCAGCCCTTTTCCCTGCAGACCAGCCTGGAGCTCCCTGCTGCCACCACCACACCTGTGCCTCTTCAGTGGCAGCTGTCCAGGAATTCTCTGGAACTTACTGTACTGATTGGTCCCCTGTTCCCGGGGCTGTCACCCTGCAGGGGTACCCCCGCCTCCCACAGTGTCACACGCTGCTCTCGTCCCCACAGCGCCCGTCTGTGCCAGCGTCCCGCCCCCTTCCTGTCTGCCCCTCCATCCCTCTGGACTTTCGCTTCGCCCGTACATGTTCCGTGAACTCCTTCCGAGGCCTCAGCTGTTCACGACACTCTAATTAGAAAAGGGATTTTAATAGTCTCTGTGCTCATTTCCAGCCTGCCCCAATTAGGCCCTCCTGCCCACTTCTAGTTAGATCCTTTGTGTGCTAATTATGCTCTTCCATCCCTCTTACAGATGTTACCAGTGTGGTCACACTCTGCAATAGTTTACTTCCCCCCCTTGGGTTCTGACTTTAAGTCCCAGTGAGCGAGCTGTCAGTGGAGAGCAGTGCTGCCTTCCCCAGGCCGGAGGCCAGGGAGTCTGGCCACTCCCGGTCACAGTTCCCTTCTTCCCTAATTCTCTGGTGCGCCCCTTCCACACAGTGGCGACCTCCATCCACCCCCTTTAAACGATGCTTCGGTAGCCTAGCTTGTTCTTTTGGGTAACAGCAGCGAGGAAAATCATGCAGGTAGACCATGTAGCTTGATTCTGAGGGAAGAGACACAAGTGGAATCATTGAAACAAATGAGTGCCCAGGAGGTGTGTGGCGGGACGGGAGTGCGGCCTGGCTACGCTTCCTGCAAAAGGACACTTACCTGTGTAGAAGGCTCTGAGTGGTTAGGTGGCTGGTGAGACGTCTCCAGGCAGGGGACTACACGTTCTACAGCCCCAGGCACGTCAGGCGGTGACTGCACTGCTAATAACATGCGAGAACACGGGTCAGGAGTGCTGGGGAGCGGGAGGTATTTACATCTTCAAAGATTCTTCGGCGACTGTGTGGAAGGTGGGCGGTACAGGAGCGCGCATGGTGGAGGTGCCCCCATCCCTGCTGATGGCGGGTGGTGGTCAGATTCTGGCTGTGCTGTTACACAGGCTGGATGTAATTTGACATCTAGGTCATGTGGGCTCTTAAAGGAAGAAGTAGGTGGAGGTTGAGGGGAAAGTTGGGGGGTGAACATTACTCTGAGGTACATGTAAGCAGCATCACTGAGTCGAGTGCTTGGACTGCAGATTTGGGAATTGGAAATCTTTAAGGTGCATTTGAGGGAGGATGCAGATGTGAACAGGGCCCTGCCTGGGTAAGGGATGTTCCAGAGTGAAACAATAGAAGATTAAAGGCCTGAGCAGGAGTGTGTGAGGTATTTTAGGAAGCCTGTTTGGATGGAACAGGAAGGAAATGACCCGAGATGAGGTCAAGGTCATTGTCGGGCGTGAGAGAGCAGGACCCATAAGGAACAAGACATTTCTGCCTTTTTATTCTGTTTCTACTGAGAGGCAAGAATATTAGGATATTAGGGAGTTTGAGTAGATTAGGCCTGATGTGGCATGATTTATGCTGAAAGGATCACTTAGCTACTGTAAAGGATAGGAGCTGGCAGGGGAGGGGCAGTGTTTTGTCCCAGCTTCTGTGAGCAGCAGCAAGAAAGACGAGGCAGAAAGGCTGAGCAAACAGAGTTTATTGCTCCCCAGCAGCAGCTGAGACAGAGCCCCTAGAGTGGGTCCGCAGCTACTGCCAGCCCTATGGGGGAGAAGGGTCTCTTATATAGATTCTAAGCTCAGATTCCAAAGGGGTACTCATCGCTGTATCCCTTGATGTAAGGCCCCGTTCGTTATCACCTTCATCTAGTCCCATCCCGGATGCAAGGCCCAGTTTATTACCGCCTTATCACCCTTGGATGCAAGGCCTAATTTATTACTGCCCTTATCAAGTCCCATCAGTGTGAGTAAATCTCCGCAATTGGTCACTTCCAACAAGCAGAAAAGCCTGGAAGGAGATTGCTGTGGTACCAGAGAGGGAGTGGCTCAGAATTAGCGGAAGGGGAAGGCCTCAGTCTAGTTCTGGCTGTTTTGTAAAGAAACATTTATTAGGGAGGGAGGTACGCGGTGGGAGAGGAGAAAGTGCTGAATGGTGCACTGAGCAGTTGGGGGTTGGTGAGCAGAGTGAGCTGGCATGTACAGTGGTGGAGCTGGAACGGGGACTGGAAGCCAGGATTTGGTTTTTGTACATTGCAAGTTAGCTGTGCTCAGAGCTCTCTGTTCTCGTTCTTTCCTTCCCACAGCTGACAGCAAGCATGAGTCCAGCCAAGGCGTCCCGTCTTCCCTCGGCGGAACACCTTTCTCTGCCTTCATTGCTCCTTCCCACCAGTTTCCACAGCTGTAGCTCTTCCTCGTGTCTGTGTGTCCCATGAAGTGGTTTTAATGAATTACATTGAAAGCTCGGGAACTTGAGGATGTGTCTGCAGCACTGGCTCCAAGGCTGGTACACAGGAGGCATCAGTGAGGTCTGAACAGGGAGTAGCCCGTCTCTGAAGTTTGCTTCTGGTGTCCCTCGCCAGTGTCTCCTAGTACCCTCTGGCACTGTGCAGTCAGTGTTCTGAAGGCCTTATTAGAAGTCAGCCAAGCGCAGTCATGTCAAGAACTTACTTTCACAGTGTGTTTACCTTTTGTTGTTTTTTACATTACTGGGTTTTTGTTGTTGTTTTTTATCTTTACCCCAAAGTGCAAGGAACTTTAAGCTGTATTTACATATAACTTTAAATTATAGTTAATTTTGTCACAAAGGTAGTTTAAGATACCTTATATCAAATCAAGATGATGTAAGAATTTGTTGTTCTTTTCTTTCATAGATGTCTCAAAATTTGATGATCATTTGTCAGAGCACTTACAAAAAGAGAGCATGGAGAATGTTCCAAAACTATGGCACAAACACAGCACATTTGAAAATTCTGTTCATCAGAGCAGAAATCACTTTGTGTTAAGGGAAAGTCATGCCCTGTTTGACTTACATAAAAGACATATGACATCAAACTTGACTTCAGCTGAGCAGAGCAAAGGCTGTGAGAAAAAAATTGCTGCTGGGTTTATTGAAGCTGGGGAGTCCTTTCTCCATGCTAATCATGAACAGGGTCAACCTGAAGTTAACCTCTCCAAATGCCAAAAACTTGTCAGCACTAAATCACAAGTCTTCAAGCAACAGAAAACTCAAAAAATAAGGAAGTCACATATTTGTAGGGAATGTGGGAAAGCCTTCATGAAGAAGTCTTTGCTCAGTGATCACCACAATCTTCATACAGGGGAGAAACCCCATCGATGCAGTGTGTGTGGGAAAGCCTTCTCCAGAAAGGTTGTACTCACTGAGCACCAGAGGACACATACCGGGGCAAAACCTTATGAATGTACAGACTGTGGAAAAGTCTTAAGAAATCACTGCTCAGTATACATCAGAAAACACATACAGGAGAGAAACCATTTATATGCAGTGAATGTGGAAAAAGCTTCATTCAGAAGGGAAATCTCATGGTACATATACGAGTACATACAGGGGAGAAACCTTACATTTGCAGTGAATGTGGAAAAGGCTTCAGCCAGAAGACATGCCTCACAGTACATCAGAGACTTCACACAGGAAGGACTCCTTTTGTGTGCAATGTTTGTGGGAAATCCTGTTCCCAGAAGACAGGTCTCATTAAACATCAAAGAATCCACACAGGAGAGAAACCCTATGAATGTAAGAAGTGTGGGAAAACCTTTATCGAGAAGTCACAACTCGTTGTGCATCAGAATCCACACAGGAGAGAGACCGTATAGATGCAATAAATGTGGAAAATCATTCAGAAGTAAGTCAGTTCTCAATGAACATCAGAGAACTCATTCAGTCAAGGTAGAGATTCCTTCCTCTGAGAGACACGGCCCATCCCAGGCCAGTTTTGTCATGCAGGAAAAGAGCATAGTTAATTCAGTGGCTCTGCCAGTGTCTTTTTTAGCCCCTCAGATATCACTAAATATCCCAGGTCTCCTGATGGAGAGGAATGTGGTCCTAGTGGGACAGCCTGTGATCAGAGGTGCACCCATAGGAGACAACAGTGGATTTGCACAGAACGGAAACCTTACGAATGCAGTGAATGTGGTCCTGCCTCCAGTCGTCAATTGCATCTTATATTTTGTCACAGAAAACCAATAGGTAGATCTCAGAAGTACCCTACATGGAAGTGGGTAAGCCCAATTTTCTAGTTCATTAATGCTGTCAAGTATATATTGATAAATTCTATAAACCGTGAAGTCTAAACACATACACATGAATTGCTTTATTGTGTTACAAATGAGGGAAGCATAGTTTATCAATAGAGGAATTCAGTCAGAAATTTTAAAGCATGTTAGGTAATATGTACCAGAAATATGGCTGTGAATGAAAAGCCCTGAATAGGCTAATAGTGGTATGATGTAGGAATTGTATGTGTCGATTCTGTCTCACCAGCCCCAAGTGAATGATTTACCTCAGAACTGGGTGTTTATATTAAGTATATATTGGTTGATATTATACCGAGGGATTTATGGAACCACAGTCTTACACTGTTGCCACTTCCTCATTTATTGAGGATCATCAAATACTTTCTGTGGATATGGCTGTGTTCCCAAGCTGAGGATACAGTGCGAGCAAAACCGAAGAATCCCAGGGTCTCCTGGAGGCAGCACTGAGGTGGTGGATTAAGTGGGTCTTTATATTAATCTTTCCAGAGCATGTAAGTGTGGTAAACTGGCTCTAAACTTCAGGGGCGATGCCAGTTTACTGTTGAACTAGCATTTGATCTTGATCATTCTCAATGGGACTCAACATTACTAAACATGACAAGTTATGTTTTAATGCCCATTTTTGTTTCCACAAGTACATGAGAAATTTCCTGATGAGTGGTTTTAAATTTTAGTATTTAAAGACTGAAAGCTGGTAAAGCCACGTGAGTGGCTGCAGACGAGGATCACACAGTTACTGGGCTAGACAGTGCGACACGGAGAGAGATGTCGTTTCCAAAGTGTGGAGAGCTGGGGCGGAGGAAGAGGTGGTTTCCATTTCTCAGGACAGAGGGTAATGTCCTATGTAGATGTGGCCGCCCTGCGGCTCCAGCAGAGATCGCCCTTCACCTGTTCGCAGGCCTCCGCCCTCCTGAGGTGACACAGGTGCTCAGTTAAGAGCAGGTCTGACATCACTCAGCTCCTGAGCCACCTCTTGCCCTGCCAACCCAGGCTATGTCTTGAGTAAGGCACTTAACTCTGAGTTTTACTTGGCTTTGTCTTTAATGTCCAGCTCGCAGGCCTGTCGTGAGCAGCGGGTCTTGAATGACACTGTGTGAATCAGTCAGAGTCACCTGGCTCAAAACACCACTGAGGGCACAGAGTGGCCCAGCTGGCTTTTCCTCGGCCTCTTGCCTCACGTGATGCGCTGGTTTATTGTGCGTCCTTCTAGTGCTTCTCATGGAAATTCATGCAAGGAGGCGGTAGTTTTGCCCTTCTCTCTTCTAAAGGCGTTTCTTGCAGCTCTGTAAGAGTTTGTGAATGTCGAGGAGCGCTGAGCAGCACTGGGCGCTGAGCAGCACTGGGTGCTGGGCAGGGAAGGCTCCTCCTGCCTGCACCTCACACCTGGGATTAAACTGGATTCCTCTTCCAGCCTGAGCCCTGTCCAATGCCAGCCCGGGGAGGCCGCATCCATTTGAGGGAGTCAAGTCGGGATCATGGTGGCCCAGAAAGACAGATGACTAAGCGTTGGGCAGAGACGCGCACTCTTCCCTGTGCAGTGCCTTCTGGACAGCCTTTCCTTAGCAGCTCCTAGTTAACAGTGGTGTGGAAATCGGGACTGGCCTGGAAGGTGGCCCCAACGCGTGCGGAGGAAGGATGGTGGAGAGTCCAAAAGGACAGTTGTCCTTCCGGGTGCAAATGGCTAAATGGCTGGTAGCAGATGTGGCACACGGCCATGGGGATGGGCACGAGTCAGACCTGAGGGGAGGCGGGGAGTCACGAAGATGGGCGCACTGGCTTAGTGTTTGCTTACGACAGCCTGAAAAGCTTCCGCAGTAGCCTCACTGCGCACCTGCTTTGGGGTTTTATGGAATGGATAACGTAAGTTGTTTGTGTGTGGGAAAAGGAGGGAGTTGGGCACCAGCCTTGTGGCAGAGGCTGAGGGATGCCACAGTCAGTAGTAGTTGGGGTAAATGAACCTGGTCCTGGGGTGGAGCGGAGAGGAGGTGTTGAAGAGTCATCTTTGGTCCATTTTGCAGGAATCGGTGGCTCTGTGATGATGACTTGTGGGTGGGCTTGGGTGGACCCTGTCAGCTTTTCACATCAACTTCGCTAATCTACAAGCAAGATAAGACAAATGATCATCTTTGGTTTGTGTCATGGGGCTGTGGCTATGGAGCCGTCTTGGGAGAGCTCGTGTAGAGGGACGGGGCTTTCGTTTTTAGAGTTGTTTTGCTTGAGAAGTTAGGGGGCTGACGGGGAAGCCTATTTAATCCGAGGTTTATAAAAGCTTAGAACTGTCTAGCTACATGCGAAGGGAAGAGTCTCTCCTCCCATCCAAGCCTCAAAATCAAAATTACAGTTTTACTTAGTCCCCTTAGAAGTTTGAAATGCAGATGAATTCCACCATAAGGTGATTATATTGTTCAGGAAATAAATATTTCATCGTCTCAAGAAGTTATTTTAAAACAATATTTATAGCATTGTTATTTCTAGGTCAGCTAAAAGGAAAAGCTTAAACTGTACCGAATATCTAAATGGTCTGGTACAGGGGCACACGCTGGATCCTGCCTACCCGACGACCCCGCGGGGCGCCCAAGTAGCAGATTCTGTGTGGTTCTTGTTGCATTTGGGATGATGCCCACAGGGCAGTAGCACTGCTCCTTACTGAATCAGCCTGCAATGTCCTTTGTCTTCCCAGGGGATATTTACCCACAGCGAAGCTTCACCCCACCGGCCTCCCGGATGAGGAGACAGGCCCCAAATAGCAACTTTTCGCACGACCCCGCCCTCGCCACTGGCCCCGCCCTCCCGCAGGTCTCCGCCCCCACGGGTCTCCACCCGCGCCGCTGGCTCCGCCCTCCCACCGGTCTCCGGCCACGCCTCCCCGGGGGAGGGGACCGGCCACAACCTGCAGTCTTTCGCACGACCCCGCCCTCGCCGCTGGCTCCGCCCTCCCGCAGGTCTTCCCTCGCCGCTGGCTCCGCCCCCCGCAGGTCTCCGCCCTCCCGCTGGCTCCGCCCGCGCCGCTGGCTCCGCCCTCCCACCGGCCTCCGGCCACGCCCTCACGCCGGCCTTCGCACTTCCACCCCCGCTCCGCGCGGGTGTCGGAGCTCACCGTGCCGCTGACCGCCTGGCGTCTGTCCTCCCCGGCGGCCGTCTCGGCGCTTTCCATCGCCGACTGGCGACCCCCGTGCCGTACGGCCCAACTTGCAGTAAGATGGCGGCCCCACGGTACGCTTGCCCTCGGCCCAGGGCGCCGCCATCTTTGGCAAAGGGCTAGACGGGATGGAGCCGTTGGCTGGACCGGCCCGGCTCCTGCGGACTTCGTCGCAAGCCAGTCAGACCCCCAAAATGGTTTCGATTCACGCCTTGAGCCGATGTGGGGGGCGGGTGGGGGCCACGATGGGCGCGACCTCGTGACGTCACGGGCCGGCCCCGCCCCGAACGCGACTCCTTGGAAACGCCGAGTGGACCCTGCCCGGCTCGGGGCGTCCCTGGCGACCGCCCACGGGGGTCTCGGCGGAGGGTGGGCACCGGGAAGCCGCCTTTGTGGAGAGGCTCACTAGTTCCTGGGGCAAAGCCCTCAGAGGTCCGAGGGCGCCGGGGGAGGGGAGGCGGGCCCAGTGTGCCTGCGGGCGGGTGGGGCAGCGTCCGCGTGGCGGGGCCACGAGGTGAACGCCCTCCTTGGCGCTGGCGCGGGTGATCTGCTCGGGCGGCCCAAACGGAAAACAGCGCGTGAACTCGCTCTCTTATCCAAGTTTGCGCGGTTTACTGTGGGGCGCAGGCCATGGAGGAGGTGCGTGGGGAGAAGGACGTTATTGGAGAGTTTCTGGGTCAGATTTCAGATTAAACTCCGAGTCACTTTTATTGTTGATTTTTGGGCGTGTGGATGCCAGCGTAGGTGGGGACGCCTGGGGCCTGGCTTTGGAGACCAGGGTCCTGCTGGAGGGAGGTGGGGGTCGAGATACTGACTGCAGATACTGACTGCACGGCTCCATGAATCTCCTTTCAAGTCTTTGCCCTCCTCAGGTACTAAAAACCTCTCCCACATAAGAGCTCTCCCTCTCTCTCTCTTTATAATTCAGGTACATTTTAATAAAGACACTTACATTTTAAATATGACAAATTTGACTGGAACTTAAATTTTAGTTTACTGTTTTATTTTTAAAGATTTATTCATTTATGCACACAAGAGCTGGGCTACAGGCCAGAGCTGCGCGGGGTGAGATGAGTCACCAGAGACAAGAGTGGGGAGCAGAACAGGTGGAGCCACTGAAATCCACTGCTGAGGGGAGCAGTGGGGAGACAGGAGAGGTCTGCTGCGCCCTGGGGGTCCCTCCCAGGCGGTGGATGGAACTGGTGCTGCAGGGGCTGGGGTGTTTAATGACAGTCGTACAAGTCATCGGTCTCAAGTCAAAATCAAAGGCCGGTATAAAAACTATACATTTTTCTCTTCAAAAGAAATAACTCAAAGGTCTAAAAATGCAGCTTGAGAAACCCGGAAAAGCAGCTTTTTGGCAGCATCAGCACTGGCTGTGCTGTGCTCAGCGGCTGAAGCTACTGGAAGTGAAGCAGGAGGTGAAAGATCCATCTTTCGCCTTGCCCCCTTCCCTGTAGGGGCACCCATGCAGCCTGTGGTTGCCAGCACCGGTGCCCACCCAGTGGCGGGGGGAGCAGCAGCATTCTCCCGGTCTGCTGGGGCTCTGTCTGCAGACGAGCAGGCCAGACTCGGAGCTCCGGCTCTGCACTGCCTCATTCCCGTCGAGACATTTCTGCACACCTAAGTCCGTGTCTCCGTAAAGGGTTTCTTGAGTCCAGGCCTTTATCACTCCTGGTGATGAGTGGTGACCCTTGCTGGCCAGCTCTGCTGATAGGTGACCGCACTCTGCTGTGCTACTGGGGACCCTGCAGGGTGAGGTCCCACCACTGGTGACGCCAGTGAGCGCTTGTGTTCCTGCTTGTAGAAGAAGCCAGATGGCTGTGCCTGGGCCCCCGGGCTCCTGCAGCTCTGAGGCTCAGTGAGAACCCGCAGGCCCCTCTCCCTCGGCCTGTCCTCCGATCAGCCGCAGGCCTGTTGTCTAGCTGTGGCCGTAGCCCGTGGTTTTGGCTTTGGCCTGTTGGCGGCTCTGCTTCTCGCGCTGGGCAGGCGGCCATTCGGCCTTTCCAGCATCAGTTCTCTGGCCCTGACCTCCCCGTTTTCGAGAAGACTACCTAGCGGTGACCTTGGGCTCACTAACCTACTAAATGCACGCAGTGGGTGGACACACATGCTAACGCGACTGTCGCTGTATGAAGACACGGAACCAGCTGCTCATGCCCACGTCTAACGCAGCCTACCGCGTGCCATGGCTTTCCCCCCTTAATACCCAGCCCCACAGAACCAGGACCCCCACTGCGGTGGCCCCTCTCCCCTAGGGGGACCCACAGAACTCACTGCTGGCTTGTCAGCCAATGGCTTTCCCAAAATGTGGGGAGTTCATTGCATCTGACGTTCCACCAGCTGAGGCCATCCGCGCTGTCGGCGCCTCAGGGAGACAGTGGCTTCTCCTCAAGCGTCTGTGTTGACCTTCTGAGAGACCACTGAGCTAACCACCAAATACTGTGCCCAAATATACAACTTACCTATTTCCTGTAAGATGGGGGCATCTCCTAAACTTGACCCGCACAAAGCACAACCTGGAGACCCGACAGTCACAGCTTATAAGCAGATAAGGGCCGACAGTGGGAAAACACACAGAGAGAAAGGCAGTCAGGTTCACCAGCCACCAGCCGGGATTATGAAAATGGGCGACACAAGCGTGGATGATGGAGGAGAGGGTATGAAACGCCACAAAGGTGCTCGCCAGGGCGAGGATGCTCTGGGTGGCTCTGGTCTCGGGAGAGGATCTGGAGTGGGCACGCGTCCTGTGAAGGCACCGTGCCCGCTGCCGATGCCTGTGCAGGAAGAGAACCATGGAGCCGCTGGCCCAGAGGATGAGCAGGGAGAATGAAAGTTCAGGGAAGACGACGAGCAACGTGTAGAGTATGTTTGTGGTGTCATCGTGGTCTTTGGTGGAACAGTCTCCAAAATCCCTTTCCCTGGTCATGTTTTTACTGCTCCATTTGCTGGGCGCATAGGACAAATAGAGAGGGAAGACGCCATTTACCGACAGGCACAGGACCCAGCAAAGGAGGATGGAGCTGCCGAGGTACTGGGGGCATTTTGTTTTCCAGCTCTTCCAGCAGGGGCCCGTGGGGCCGATGGTGACGGCCTGGAACATGCTCAGGAGGCAGGTGGTGCCAATGGACATGCCCCTGCCCACCCGCTCCATGTACCGGAGGAACTTGCAGCCTGCATGGGTGAAGAGGGGTTTCCACCCAAAAGCCAAGGCGATCTGGGGAGTCCCTTTAGAGATAATGACCAAGGAGTTGGATAGGACCACATGCTTGAGAATCAAGGCTATGGACCTCAGCCGGCACCCAGCGCAGTGAAGGAAGAGTTGATGGTAAAGAAGGGAGAGATTGCCCAGCATGCCCACGGTCATCTGTGCTGAGAAGATGATTCCTACCACCAGGTCTCTGGAGGTTGTTCTGTCACCTAACGTGCTTCCCTTTGAGCTGGGGGAGCTGCTGTTCCTGGGCAGAGGCGCCCACGGAAGCTCGTTGGCACCATGCGCGATTTCTGCTGTGTGTTCCCAGGGGGTTGCCAGAGGTGTCGAGATGGTTGCCGGATGGAGACAACGATCAGTGTGGTTCACGGGAAAACCGGCTTGAAAGATGAGGTGGGACTCACCTTGGGGAGGCCAGGGCAGAAAGCGGAAAGAAAGCAGGATCCAAACTCTCAGCATCGGTGGGAGCTTATTGCCCCGTTGGGACGAGGAGGTGATCTCAGCCATCCCCTGTGCCAGGCAGAGAAGCAACCTGGAGTCAGAGGCTGCTCTACATGTTAAAGGGAAGTTTCTGGAAAGACAAAAAATAGTTCCTTGGCCTTAGCATGAGAAAATACTTGAGAAGCATCACAAAATGCATTGTGTGGAGGTGCTGACAAATTAGGTCATATGAAAATGAAGAGCTGGCCCTCCCTGGTGGTGCAGCGGGTTAAAGCACGGCACTGAGAATCTAAAGCCGCTTCCGCATGAGTTCGATTCCCGCCTGCCCCGGAGGTGACCACATGGCGCGGCAGACCTCTCCTGACCCGCCCGCTGCTCCCCTCAGCAGTGTACTTCGTCGATCTGCCTGTTCTGCTCCCCACTCTGTCTCTGGTGAATCCTCTCACCCTCCGCATCTCTGGCCTGTACCCCAGTTCTGTATGAATAAATAAATAAATCTTTAAAAAAAAAAAAAAGCTAAAGCCACTGCAGCATTAGTTCGATCCCCGACCCCAGAGGTGACCCTCCTGACCCCCGCTGCTCCCCTCAGCAGTGTACTTCATCAGTCAGCCTGTTCTGCTTCCCGCCCCTGCACCTCTGGCTGTACCCCAGTTCTGTATGCATACATAAAAACAAATCTTTAAAAAAATTAAAGAATAAAACAAAACAGAGAGCTGGTCTCATGGAAAGGCACACACAAAGGAAGATGCTAGCACAGACGAGGTTGTACGTGGGGTGCTACTGGTTCCTCAGGAGACCTCCAAACTCACAACCCCCCAGAAGCAGAATGATACACCGGGTAGGGACAAACGCATCAGACCACACAGAATGGGGAAAGGGCCAATATGGAAAGTTCACACTAGGCTGTCTATTTGCATACATTTGCATAATTTGCATACAGAGTCAGCAGAGGGGAACTCATCTCTTCATAGGCTGGTTGCACACTCACTCCCCCTATTCCCAAGCAGCCCCAGGACTCTACTCTTGGGGTCCTGATTTCTGGGGCGTTTCGGAGGGCTTCTGGGCAACGGAAGACATGCTGACGCTCGACCTGGGCATGGTGTAGGCAGTCGTGGTTGCGAAATCCCTGAGTGGCACTCTCACGGCCACATGGCTCTACATTTGAGAAAATGCGCATGGCCAAAAAGGAGTTTGGGAGGGCAGAGGCGGTTGCTGAGGGTCTGACCTGCGGGTTGGGTCTGTGGGGATGAAACTGCAGAACCGGGGTCCCCAGGAGACCAAACAAGAAATGCTGGGGGATGGTGACGGTGCCCTTCTGGTGAGCTCAGGGCCCTAAATCCTTCTTTTCTTTAGGATGGAGAGGGAAATGACCACTCAGGGGCTAGCACAGGAAAGGAAACCCCCAAGTCCTCGGGAGCCTCTCAGTTCTACCCACCTGGGGTTGCTGGTGCAGGCAGAGGAGGGAGAGATGTTGGAGAGGTGGGATGCGGCAAGGCCACTCTGTGAGGCCAGGAAACAAGTTGACGTTCTGGACCATCCAAGAAGTCGTCGAACGCAGTGGCAGCCATTGTTTGGGGGGGCTGCCGTCGGCGCCTGAGAATCAAACTCAAGGCCTTCAACTGGACTCAGAGCAGTAAAGGAAGAGAAGAGATCCAAAAAAGCATAAATCTCCAGGACCCCAACTATATTGTAGGGGAAGTAGGACACTCCTAGCCTTAGAGGTGGTTTGGCCGGGCCCCCAGGTCCAGGCCCCCGGGTCCAGGGCGGAGGACCCCGCGTGGGCCCCAGAGGCATGGAGCCGTGAGCCCATGCCCGGCCCCAGCACCTCATCAGGATGTTGGCCCTCGTCTTGTCTCATGTATAAACTTTAGGTCGCGATTACCATACAAAGAGCCCTGGTGCCCAAACTACCGGCCGCCTCTGAGCGGATCTGTTTGCTGGCGGGCCCCGGCGTCATTGCCCTGGCCGGCGAGGAGAGATTAGGCACAGCGGACGTGATCGTGTGAAGGCTCACAGGCTGGCTGCCGGCCGAGTGCTAACGCTGGGTGACTGCCCCCCCCAACGGTATCTCACATTGTTAGTGCTTTATCATTTCGGCTGTAAGCAGTTTCTGTCTGGGTGGGTGTCAGGCTTTATTCTCTAGAGCAGTATCCAGCAAAGCTTTCGAGAGCCCTAATAAAGGGCAGCTGCCCGCACTGCAGTTGGATCTTAGAGTAAATGGCCTCAAGTTCCAGTTGGCTTTAGCTGCAGACCTGGTTCTCAGCAGAAAGCCCCATCTGCTGGCATGCCAGGGTAAAAATCCAGTGGCATTTATGAAATCAATTCGTATTTAATGAAATAAATTATGGGATAATGTTATTTTGTCCCTAAACTCAGAAACATGAATACGTAATGAAGTAGGATGGGATAGAAACTACATTTTAATAATTCCAGGTTGCATGCTTATTTATTTATTAATAGCTAGGGTAAGGGAACTGTTAGCAGTGAGGCTGCCGAGGTCAGCCAGCAGGCCAGACCGGACTCATGCTCAAAGGTACATGGGTGGACCAAGAGGCCGGCCTGGACTCAGGCTGGTGGGCGCAGGGGTCAAGCAGGAGGTCAGCACCTGATTTCTACACCAGATTAGGTCGCTATTAAAAGAGACACGGAATGAAGTTGGGAGCTGTGAAACCTTGTGCCGTCTAGAGATTAACACAGGGAAAGGAGTCTCGAGCGTGGGACTGGCATTAGGACGCTATTAACCCAGAAGAAATTACATGTGACATGCTTGCTCTATCATCTATTTGCAATTGCATTATTGTCTTTTCTCTGCATGCAGCTTCCCAGCGTCAGAGGATAAGTGTCTTTCTATAGTCATTAGTTCAAGTAGTCTCCAGTCACAGCCTCACAAACCCAGAGCTCTAGAAAAGCATTTTCACCCCAGAAACAAATTCAGACAGCTCATTTCTACATGACTAGGTCGCTATTCCAGCGCCATCCTAAGCTCCTAAGCTTGGAGCTACTACAGGCGCACCTACAGTGACTGGAAAATTTCATCTGTGGTTTGTGTGAGGGAATGTGAACAATAGCTTGAATTCATGATACAGCCCTTAGGTGCCTTACAAATTTGGTTTCCTGGGCCTCCCTGGTGGCACAAGGGGTCAAGATGCAGCACTGTGACGCTATCGGCAGCCACTGCAGCACGAGTTCAATTCCTGGCTAGGGAGGGACCCCCAGGGCGCAGCAGACCTCCCCTCTCCCGGCTGCCCCCTCAGCAGTGGGTTTCAGTGGATCTGCCTGCTCTGCTCCCCACTCTGTCTCTGGTGTCTCCTCTCCCCCCTGCACCTCTGGCCTGCACCTCAGCTCTTAAATGCATAAATAAGTCTTTTTAAAAATTAGGTTTCACTATTTACCCATACATTTCCTCAGGAGGATTTAATTATTAGATAGCCTGGGAGTTGTTGAGGTTGCCCAGGTCTGGGCCCTGATTCTTTCCCCCATTTCATCTCATAGCAAAGGACTCATGCCTCCTCTTCTGATTTTGCCACTGGATCAACTGTGTCCACCCCAGAAGAGACACAAGTAGCGTTGCAGACTTCCTTCACAGAGTCTGCCTCAGACTGAAACAGAAGGTACTCACGGGGGTCTCCCCGGTGGCGCAGCAGGTTAAGGCGCAGTGGGTTAAAGCGCAGCACTAAGCAGCTAGCTGCAGGCCATGGAGCTGACCCCCAGGGCGCAGCAGACCTCTCCTGTCTCCCCGCTGCTCCCCTCAGCCGTGTGCTTTGTCAGTCTTCCTGTTCTGCTCCCCCCCCCCCACCACTCTGTCTGCTGAGTCCTCTGCACCTCTGGCCTGCACCCACGTTCTGTGTGCATAAATAAATAAATCTTAAAAAAGAAAGTACTCACTGGACCCCTTCTCTCTCCCAGGACGTTTGGCTCGAGGCGATGGTCAGGGTGCCCAGCAGTAGTGGAGGAAAGAGTCAGATCCCTAGATATAGGCCTGTGACGTGGTGACTCAGCCCCCTCAGCTGCAATTATCACTTCCCCGAAGCATGATGACAGGGCCGCTTGGAGAAGGAGAACCCTGCCGCAAGACTTTTCTCCCAGTTGCCAACTGTCAAAGACAATTACTGGGTCTTGTGAGAATCTTCAAGGAGATCATTAATGTACCTGGGAGGAATTCTTACTTTTTCAGTCTCTGAAGGTGGCCTGGGCCTCAGGTGAGCAGAGACTGGCAGGAAGCACCTGGATCCCATCCCAAGTTCTACCCAAAATAAAACTAATTCTTTTTTTGTTTTAAGATTTATTTGTACATACAGAACTGGGGTACAGGCCAGAGGTGGTGAGAGGATTCACCAGAGACAGAGTGGGGAGCGTAGGCAGACTGACGAAGTCCACTGCTGAGGAGGGTGGCGGGGAAACACATGGGCTGTGTGGGCCACCTCCCTGGCTGGGGATCGAACTCGTGCTCCATAGTGCTGAGGCTTAACCCCTGCGCCACCAGCGAGGCCCGCATTACTTTTCAATACCTGACACACCCCCAGGGTACACCTGTGATACCCAAATGACGATCTGACGGTCTCTAAGTCTCTGTACCAACCAGCTTTGGTCATTAACTGGGCCTCACTCGCCTTTGGCGTCACCCAGCAAGCACTTAGGTCAACACTGTCTGAGCCTTCAGTCTGTTAACATCACGTGTGTTCGAAACGTCTGTTGTTTCATGTTTGTAATGTGCC